TTTTAAAGAAAGATTTGAACTGAAAACAAAAAGAAAACAAAACCGTAAAACGATGAACAGAAAATGTTTTTAAATATAATTTTTTCAATTTGATTTTTTCTTTTTTTTTTTGTCACTTTATCGACTCAAAAACAGAAGTTTTAAAGAAATGAAAAAAACAAAAAAAAATGTTTTTAAGAAGGAGAAAAATTTGATGGATGTCAACTAATCCATATGATGTTTGTTGGGAAGTATTCATTGAATCTGTATATTTTGCTGGATGCATTTTGTTTAACATAGTTTTGACATTTTTTGTTGCTTCTATAATTACACTGTTTTTTGATATTTTTAAATTCAATTTTTTTTTAAGAAAAAAAAAACGTTTTTTTTTGCCTTAATTTATTGCATGTAAAATTTTGCTTAAAATTTTTTGCTGACCACACATCTTTTTTCTTTGTGTGTCGATTAATCAAAATACAATGAACAGAAAAAAAAAAAAAAAAAAAGAATGATAGAGAAAAGATGCCAGTACTGTTGCAGTTTAATGGAGTCGATGAATTCTATATTTGTAAAAAATTTAAAAGAAATTGCTGATTGAACAAACTGTAAGCAACAGTAAGCAGGCAGAAACTAATAGATGGATACTTCCTGTAACTTTAGATAGCTAAGCAAAAAAGTAAAGGAAGAAGAAGAAAATTTAGATGCAGAAAAAGGAGAAAAGAAGGATGAAGCATCAAAAACTGAAGTAAAAATAAATCTTTAAAAATGTTATTTTGAAGATTTGCTGATAAAAGTTGAAAAAAAAGAACTGCAATGCACTTCTGTACAGTTATTTCTGTCAACATTTGAAAGGCAAGTGATTGATACTGGACGGATACATGACACTGCTAATCGTGTTTACAGTTACTGTTACTGGCAATAATCAAATAAAAAAAAATTTTTTTTTTCTTTGATTTAACATGGTCAATTTAAAATTTATATTGGTTGTTAAAACTGTTGAATTTTTGGAAGAAAAAGAAGCAAAAGAAAAAGTGTGATTTTATAGGTTTGATAAATCATCTGTAAAGCTGAATGCAATTGTTGTTGGAAGTTTTTACAATAATCGGTCGTCTGAATTTTTAGATGATCTGTATAACATTGACAAATTGTGCAGAATAATTAACCAAACTCTATACAACAAAACTGAACAATTATCATCGGAGACCAACTGAATTGTTAAAGCAATTTTTAAATTCAAAATTCAAAACATCTGATCACAGAATGTGCCTTGTGTTGTCGAATTTGTTGTAGTTGTTGCTGTCGTCGTCGTCATCATCCTTATGGTCATTTTCGTCTTATAAATATGAAGGAAAAAACTACAATGTCTGTTTAGTGAGAAAAAAAAATATTTATTGTTATTTTAAGAAAACTGTATAAAAGATTAAAGGGTATGATTTTTTTTTTATTGAACATTTGGATGACTGATTGACTCAGTGACTAATTGAATGAATGAGATAAACAATCTGACCATAGATTGAATAGACGGAGAATGAATGGAGTACAAGTTAAAAATTTTTGTTCAGCATAAACGGCGAGGATACAATGATTAATGCAAAAGTAGACGTCAGTTTAATGGCGGAGTTTTGAGGTAATTGAAGAATGAAAGAAAACATCAAAAAATCTTCTGTGATGTGTAACTGTTGTATCCGATCCACCGCTACTGTGTTTGTCTATGTCTGCATCTGTATATTTTCTACTGCGTGTTTAAGGTGAAGGAGATCGGAGCCAAAAGAAACTGATTATTGGCCATAACACAGCCTTTCACGACACAGTATTTACTCAATCAAAAAAAAAAAAAAATTGTACAAAAACTAAACGAAACGAAATTATTCTTCAGTATAATGCAGAAAAAAAAAAAAAAAAAAAAAAAAAAAAAAA